AGCAGCAGCACGACAGTGAACTGAAAATGGCGTTGTGAATCCTACTACATGAACGTTTGTGAGAGGGCAGCAACATAACAATGGTCGACATGTACACAAAACATGCAGTTGTCCATTTTGCATGTGCGTTTCGTTGTTTCGTCGTTTCGTTGTGGCCATACTGATACCTTGCACTTCAATGAAATTTTAATATTTTGTTCAAAGTGAAATTTTTAAGCAAAAAATAAGTAAATTTTCAGTTGTTATTATAAATGATGTATCAGAGCTATTTTATGCTTTTATTTGTAAAATAACGTCAGGTTTGTTAGAGCTGTGGATAATTTTACATTTTACATATTAGTGGCATCACCACTCTACCTCATCTCTCTATCTTCCATTCTACTGTCAACTCTACTGTCGTTGGCAAATATAGGATAAAATTTAAGTTAGCGAGAACGACACCTGTCGGCCTGCAGTCGTGTAGTCGTGCAGCTGTCAAAATAGGTCCGTCCATAAGAACGTGTGTATTTTAATATTTGATATGTCGTTTGCAGTCTGTCGCGAGCATTGTATTCAACACATAATTAGGTCTGAAATATTTGTCCATATGTGTATATATACATACCTGTATTTATACACATATATTTATTCGTACAATGGTCGATTGTTTACAAGTGCATAATAAGCCGAAAATGTTAATGTGCAAATAAATATTGTTCATCGTATTCTACAGGGTCAAACCAGGTTCGCTTCTACAACAAAGCATCAGTGCTTTTACTCAGTTCACGGTTATGTTTCAGACAATTAAGTACATCTCAGAGCTCATAATATATAACTAATGCTCATTGTAGACCTATTAGTAATGAACCCAGCTATCTAAAAAGGCGGGTTGACGCATGAAACTCGTGTTAATGTGTTTACTCATGCGCATATAAGTCACTATTTAAGCGCATCCGCAGCCACACGTTTCTGCATGAGAGTAGGTGTGTGTGTGTTTGTATAAATGCAGGAAATCAACTCGATCCATTTTTGTCCAAGCTGAATATTAAAATATAATATATTACCGGCAATCGAAAATGGCTTCAATTAATTGTGTATATAGTATGTATGTACATATGTATCAATATCTGTATGGACTTTGGTATTATTAGAATAACGATATTCAGAGACGTCAAATTGCTTCTTCTGACTGTTCTTCTCTTTTAACTTGAAAAACTCAGTTTACTCTCTCTGTTCTGTTTGTTGATCATCATTTACGGTACAAGCCTATCTATGATTTTAATAAATATATCTACCGCGATTTATTGCCGGCTATTTATAAATTTATATACATGTATGTGAAAGAAATCATAAAAATCACTGTGTGCCAAGCATTCCAAAAATCATTAACACTTAGAAGCCGCTTCTGAAGATTAATTTCATCATTACGCCGTTAACATTGACGTTTCCAACTCATAAATCGCATACGAATGAGTTCTGATTATACATTAAAAAATATCAAATATGGATATATCACAATCAGAAATATGAATTGATAGGCAATAACTTTTATAGTAAACTTGCCAATTCGTATTTTATATTTCGGGTTTAGAGGAAAAGCCATTATTACTCATGGAAAATCGCTTCATCGTTCTTCAAAATATTGTTCATTAAAGTATTATATGTACTTTACTCTTTTGGATGGGTTTGAACAAATTTTCGAAGCCCTTTTGTCACTCTGAGTTATATCCAAAACATGCTAAGCAATGTAACGTCTGCTCCATCGTTATCGACTGGGGAATCGAGTTCGCCTTTTCCATTCTCACTGCCATTCAGCAGGCTGGATAAGTGTTCTCTCCGTAATTTTAGTATGCTCTGTGCATCGGTTACTAGATAACCTCTGGGATTTCCACAAGTGTAACAGTCTTCGGTCTTAAAACTTTCTGTTAGTCGCCACATTTTTTCGTAGAATTTTTCGGCATTATTCCTGTCGGCCAGCTTGTCAAGCTCTTCATACTCACATATTTCGGCCTCTCTCTCTTTCTGCCTGCAAATGCGTCTCGCTACCCTCTTCAACTCTCGGTATGTATCCCATCCCGCACGTGTTGTGGTCGATAGTAACGTTGCGAGGTAGGCAGTCCCTCTCCGCTGCAAAACTTTTTCCGAAAACCAATGGTTTTGGTTGCAGCTGTGTTGTTGACGAGTACTCTCAGAGAAAACTGTTCAGCTCTCTATTGTGATTGCAACTTCTCTACGCCGAACCTTCCATGCGTTTTTTGACTACACAGAGGTGGACGCGTATCTTTTCTGCAACAAGATAGTCCGAGTCGATATTAAGGCCTTGGAGCGTATGCACGACGCCAAGCATTTTGACATCGTGGCGGGGACAGCTCTCATAGGTGTGCTGCAAGTGCTCATAGAAGGCATCTTTGGTCACATCCTTCCCTTCCGCCAGAGAATGTGCGCAAATCAGCGATATGTTAAAGAACTTCTATTTGAAGCGGATTGTAGCAAGACGTTCATCTCGCGGTTTGAATGACAGTACTCGGCGACGAAGACTCTCCCCCACCACGAAACCCACACCGAATTTGCGCTCCTTTATATGGCCACTGTAGTAAATGACACAAGGACCTACTCGCCTCAGTCATTGCTTGGGCGGCGGTGATGTCCGTCTTCACTCTAACGAGGGGATGTTTCGCCTTCAAACAGATGTTTTCTGGCTATCCATAGGATACTTGGTCACAGGTCGAAGCCATGACCTACTTGAGCTATATGTAAAAGAATCTTTTTTAGCCACTCCCAAGTGAATTGCAATCAGAGAACTTTCCTCACTTGCGCGGACTTCTTCACACGACTCCATCCTCCAGAAATCCTACTAGAGTTATTATATCATTCCTATCGAATTTTAATGGTCGGCATGTGCGACCTCTATTCCATTCATATGACGTGTGACTGATTATTGTGTCAGGGACTGACTGCACTGAGACTTTTAAACTAAAACTGTGTTGGAACTCGGAAATATCAAAAGGGGGTATGATGTCTCTCTATTAGCTGAACAACTCAGGTTATCTTTTACACAAAATATCCGTTGTAAAAACCAACAAGTTGTTGACATGTGGTTTATTCTGGTGACTTTGAGAAAAACCGTTAGCTCCAACATGTTCCGGTCGAGTAACATATCTAAATAATATTTGCATGCATCGACTTACATAAGCCACAGTCGACACACCGTTTGTCAGTTCAAAGTCATGGTATTTGATCGGCTATGAAAAATTGGAAGTTGCATGTAACACTCAGAGGAAAACTGTTGTCCGCTCTTGCGAAATCCGTTATACGAACATAAGCGAACTCATGTTAGTACGTAAAAGTAATTAATAAAGTATACATCTATAAGTATATATGTACATACGTAAGATTTAACGAATTTGCTCCACATTTTATGACGGTCTCTGGCTCATTTTCTTGGCCAAGGTCTTTGCTAGGAAGCCAACGAAAACCGTTGCTTAACCACTACCGAAATAAAAAGATTGCCAATGAATTAGCGTGATCCGGCCCGGAAGACTTGCAAACCATGACGTCTTACAGCAACTGGAAGCCAATTAGCGTCAAAACAAAAATGGAAAGCTGCTTGCAACCTCGTGCATACATACTAACATACTTACGAAGTATGAAACTTTTAAAACTGGTCACTTGGAACTCGCTTCATGTAACAGAACAGCAAAAAGTTGCAACAGTAAACATTCGGACCAGTATTTGCGCGAAGCTGACCTCAAAACTGAAGCGAATGAGAAACAAAAGTGAAAGAGAGAAATATGTAAACTCACTTTGGAAGCAGAATACAAAAAGAAATTGAAAATAAGTTGCAAATAAAATCTGGTTTATGTTATGCAATCTTGCAACATGTTTACATATTATACTAAGTAACTTCAAAGTAAATCTGCAGCTGACATGTAGCTCCACCGTCTAGACACAACCAGACGCTATTGAGTAGTTGCAAACAAATGCAGATACGTCTGTTTACTATTACTTCATTTAATGTTGGGAAGTACTTAAACAATATGAGTTCAAAAGAGTTGTCTGCATTTTTTAAAATTTTGTGTTAAAACATGTTAGATTTTTTTTATTGGTTTAATATGCAATAATGTAATGTTCCTGAGCCCTAAACAATAGATGTTCAAGCCGTATAAAAGAGGCTGGGAAAAAAAGGCTGGTGTAGAAATTGGGGAGTAAAGAACTGACAAATCTTGACAATAATAGACATTTCTGGACAAAAAAGGGAAATAAAATAGCTTCTTAAATTTCTTAAAATCCACTTGCAAAAATATTTGTTGAGCCAGTTTTAAAACATCAAGAGCAATTTCCGTTATGTGTCCCCTTCACAGTAGGTCATAGCCATTCCTTTAAAAGAGGATCACAATTGAAATGAAGAGAACACTAATTTAAAATTTGTAAGACTGGGAAGTTTGAGATTAGGAAAATAATTGGCCATTGCGCTTTGGATGGCTGAGTCATGTAAAACCCTAACTTAAACTTTTAACTTGGATAAAAGAAATAACAGTTTATAAATAGGTTCGTACAGTCCTACAAAAAAATTCGAGATTTAGCGGCAATTATTTTTTTTATGAATTTTATACTTAGTCAAAAAGCACAAAGACATTTCGATTAAAAAAAATTTATTTTGCACACCTAATTGACGTTGATTAGCACAAAGGAATTGAAAAAAAAAAACGAGAAAGGTAGAAGGCGAAATGTTAATATTACTCGAACAACAACTCATCCAAGAGGCAGTCAACCATGAATATATATATACAAATTTTAAAATCCGACATTCCACACCAAAGAGGATTGTCATTCGCAATGTTGCTGCATTAGATAACATATAGTACATATAAGATAAAGAAATAAAGTTGAGCTTCATTACGCTTCTTTTAATTTTTAACCAAATACTTTTGTCTTTAATTTACATAAATTGCTTATCATGATGTGAATTCAGTGTTTGTCAGCGTTTATCATGAAAATTAACATAAGGTTTCTATTTCTAGTGGATGATGCTTCCGGTCATTATACATCTGGCTTTTTCTATGGAAACAACTATTGGCTGGGATCTCTGTCGTTATGTGAATCTATTTACCACGAAGATGATAGTGGCAAATCAAATGCAAGATCTGCGAAAAACTCTGGCCTTCCGTTCGCCAAAGCACATACGCAGCTCTACACAACGGTCTACAATGAAAATCCACCCTTTATGCCCGGGTTCTTTGTTATAAAGCTTTTCTTGAACGATACGTTTCCAGCGCTTATGGTAAGTACACAGAGTCTTATAAATTCTTATTAGAAGAAAGATTAAAAAGAACAATCATTCGTGAAAAGAATTACAGGAATGACGCCAAAAATATATTACAACAAAAATAATCTAAGCTAAATTTTAGAAAACACATTTTCTAGGTGGAAGACTAAATTCGAGAGATATTTCCTCACTTAACCTACCTTGCATACATATGAATATGTCAGTGTGAATAAGTAATGAAGGGGGATCCATTTGGAAGGTTCACTACTGTTTTCAAGAAAAAAAACGCAGAAACTTCACATTTAAAGGATAATGTTTATTATCATTCGAAAAAAACATTCTTTGGCATTTATTTTTGGAAAATTATCTCTTTCAAATGTTGGCCGCGGCTACGTCTCAGACAGTCCATCCATTTAGTCTATTTTTCGCGTAAGACACGCGTGATGTTTTGCTTCAAGGTGTGAACCGAAGAGGGATTGTCCCCAAATGCTTTATTAAAACGTCTAACGGTGTGATATCACACGATCTTGGTAGCCACTTGACCAGCCCAAAACGTCTGATGAGATTTGACGTTGATTCCACTGCCACACGAAGCAAACCAAATCGATGTTTTTTTCTCTTAGGGGTACTTTTCGTCCCATATATGGTAATTTTTCTTGTTTACGTACCCATTGAATCAGAAATGAGCATCATCGCCAAACAAAATTTGGCTCGAAATCGTCAGATGTTCTTGGAGCTTTTCAAGAGCCCATAGGGCGAAGAGATGTTTTTTAGGAAATCAAGCGGCTTCAGTTCTTGCACGTCGTAAAACGCGCTAAGTCGTTCCATACGCCAGTCTGAGTTGATACGAACGGCACCAAATTGACTTCGTGAACACTCTCAGCTTCTTATATTTCATATTTCATATTTTGCTCTCTTTTACTTTGAAACCAAAGCTATAATAACTGGTGACAAAAGTAAATAGTTAAGAACTCTGTACTATCGCAATATTGGTACTGTTCGTGGGAAGTTTACAGGGAGGAAACGATAAGATTGTAATCAATCGCTCGTATAGTATACCACTTAATTTAGTCGTTAATAGTGTCTGAAAAGAACAGTCGATAAGTATATTTTCCTCAAGGAAGTGGTAAGAGTAATCTGGTCGCAACAAACGGTGTGAACAGTAAACCAATTGTAGCCTAGGGACATGAAAGGCAATTATTTAAACTTGTTTTAAATCAAACATTTGTTCTTCTGAATGGATGCGCTTGCGCAGAGGTGCTAATCTTAGTTAATTTATTTGCAGAAGATATTCTCTTTTGCTAAGTAAACACAGGTATAGGTGCCCCTAGAGTGAAATCTAAATAATATAGTAAATAGTTATTTTTGAATTTTAAGTGTGAATTGTTTCGTTTGAATTTTAGACTCGAACCATCTACGTTGGCGTTTGTTTACCTTCTAGCTGTTCAACCAAAGAAGTTAATATTTTAGCAGAATCTACACAAACACCCTCGGCAACACGGAGTGTTAACATTTTGGATGTGCGCATGCCCACCAACGGGAAGTTCAACTTGTACGATGATCGAACATTTTGGATTCTAATGTGAGTTTTAATAAATGAAAGTAATATAATTATATACATATATCTTCAACAAATACGATATGCAAACATCTTTTTTTGTCATTCTCTGCTGCGAGAACGTGTGATTAATACATAGATGCCTCTCTATAGATGAGGTGCTAAAATTAAGAAAGTATGAAAAACTTATTAGCAGAGTAAGTTAAGGGGCTGACATCCATATATACACATATTACGCGTAGTCTTTTATATTCGTGATTTGACATCTTTATCATAATATTTCACTTTTTTGATATTATGCACGGAATCCAGTCGCTGCGAAAGAAAATCAGAACTATTACTTTCCGGACAAACCCTGTAGAACATGTAACATAAACAAATGGCGGAATAGTTACTGTGTTGAGGAAAAGTCACCCGGAATTTCGAAAATCTTTATATTAAGTATATGGGGGCTAAAGGACGACTCAACCAATTTTTGACATACAAACATATTATTATAAGAAAAGGATTACTCCTTAATTTCAGTTATATATAGCATATCGCACATTGACCGCAGTTTTCGATCAAAAGTCAACTATAGGCACTGGGTTCTAGATATTCGGAACCTAGGGGCTACAATTTTTGATCACAGACCAACAATGTGATTCGTGTACGCAAATTCGTATACGACGACCAGAAATTGCGGCGAGTGGAAGTGTGCCAAGAAAATTTCAACATGTGTGAAAATGACCCCCAAGCGGCCGGTGACAAGCATTTTGAGACGACAGAGGGGTTGCACCTCGGCTCTCAATGTTATTCCAAAAAATGCGTTCCGTGACGCCTTCAATGCTTGGAAATGGCGCTGGCAGCGCTGTATCAACGCCAAAAAGCCTATTTTGAAAGCTTTTAAAGAATTGTGAGCATTTTCATATGATAACAATCATAATACTATCCGGGTAAACCTGTATTCGGTTTGGTATGAATGTTTGTCCGCCGTTCGCCCATCATCTAACTAAGTATCCGCAATGTCTGGCGATGTATCTGTCGGTTTCACAGCTTTGGTTAGCTTCGTGGTGTTATTTTATTGCCTTTTTTGGGTAAAAGAATATTCAAATAATTCTTACATGAATATTGAAAACGTGCTTACGATTTGAAATATAATTTTTTATATATGAATTATTTTGACTTTTAACATAAAAATTTAGTTCCAATAACATCGAATCGAGCTTGCAATGTTAAAGACCGTAGACCTGAGAAACATTGCGAAAAAAAATTAAATAGTAAATTAAATATAGAAGCGATTGTTTCGAAGTTGATGAGATCATAGGTGATAAAAAGAAAGACTCGAAATTCAAATGCCACACTTTTTCGTAGACAATCAATTAAAATTGATTACGTTAATAAATTTCTATTGAGGGGAGGCGAGCCGCCCATAAAATGTAGACTTGTGTCGATATTATCGAAAAAAAGCTCTTCTAACTGCTGTGAAAACATTGAATGGCATTGATATTAAGCTTAACAATCCAAAAGATATATTATTTCCAAATAATTTTAAGTGTGCTTTTAACACAACAAATATTACAACCGAAAAAATCCAAGTCGCGAATACTGTTCCAGTGGAATAAACAAATAAACGGTACAAGCTGCCAAATATATTAAAAAATGCTCAGGACTATGTAATTTAAAAACTGACAAAATGTATAAATAATAACAAAACATTCGCATAAATAAATACAAGACACTCGAAGACACGAACAATTCGTTAACTCGAACACGTATGGTTTTCAAAATGTTCAAAATTACAAAACGATTCTGGTAATAGTTGGTGGCATCGACTTTAAAAACGTAAGTTGAGGGGAAGGCGCTTTAAAATTTTGAAACCGTCCAAACCATTCGAAAATTAAAACTCTACTCTCGTCTTAAACTCATATCCTGCACAAGTGCATACAAATATACAAGCATGAATATAAATAATGAATAATAATGTAATGAAATATTATTTTTTTTAGAATTGTCACATCTTTCGTGTTCACTCTTATAACTGCTGGCACATTATACGAAATATACCTGACACGTCGCTTGAAAGCAGCACTCCGTCGTCAGGATAAAGAAATGATGAATAACAGTGAAACCTCGTCTGGCATTGGCTGTCCTTCGTCTGATTACAGTGATTCCTTGGCACATGCATCGCTCAAAAAAGAGTCCATCAAGGAATCCCTTAACGAACTGAAAATAGTACTGAACATGCCGCATGAGATAAGTGGCGGTCCGGCGAGTAGCAACAGCACTTCGGATGAACATCTGGAAGGTCATCTACACGAACCGGAAAAACTGGGCGTTTACTCCGAATTATTATTATCATTCTCAGCGATCACCAATTTCAATGCGATCTGTGATCGAAACGTCGGTGCAGACACCATTCCGTCTATACATGGGTTACGTGCATTTTCGATGGCATGGGTGATACTAGGTCACACTTGCATAGTGGTCTTCAAATACTCAGACAATATGGAGATGCGCAAGGAAGTGGAGAAAAATTTCTTCTTCCAAGCCATCACCAACGGACCATTCAGCGTGGACACATTCTTCTTTATCAGTGGTTTCTTAGTTTCATATTTGTACTTCCGCACAAACGCCAAAGGAAAACTAAATAAACTCACGAAAGGAACGAGTGAACTGGCAGCTGGTACAGCACACTTTTTTGGATTGGTCGCATATCGTTTTATGAGGTTTGTGTATTGAGATTATTGGGATGGTAAGGGAAGATTAATAATTTTACAATTGGTAGGCTAACAGCTCCGTACATGTTTGTGCTCGGCGTGGTCCAGGTATCCATGAAATATTTGGCAGCCTACTCAATATTCGATCCTCCAACTATGGATCACGAAACTTGTCCGCAATATTGGTGGCGTAACTTGCTGTACATCAACACACTCTTTCCAGTAGATCAAATGGTAAACAAAATTAGTCCAATGAACAATAATTAAGCTAAAAAAAAACTTATCTAAATTAATTGAAATGTCTTCCTTCGCAGTGTATGCTATGGAGTTGGTATCTGGCGAATGACACACAGTTTTATATAATCGGTGCTATCATACTAATTATTGGGGTACGACATTTTAAGCTATCGGCATTTACCACACTATTTTTCTTAGTATCGTCATGGATTACCACAGCAGTTATAGCATTTACAAACAACCATCGTCCAGATACTGATGATCCGCTAGCGCTCTTCGATAAAATTTACGACAAACCCTGGACACGTCTTGGTCCCTACCTTATTGGTATGGCTGTTGGCTGGATATTATTCCGCACCAACTGTAAAATCCGCTTACCACGTCTAACGGTAGCCACTCTCTGGGTATTGGCCATACTCAACTTGTTTGTTCTCGTGTTCGGGTTGTATCGTGCCGAATTATCACAGTTTATGGCAGCCGCGTACAGCTCACTCAGTCACTCAGCATGGGCTCTATCGCTGGCATGGATCACAATTGCTTGTTCTACAGGATATGGTGGATACATAAACACATTGCTTGCAGCTCCTTGCCTCTATCCATTCTCGCGGGTCACTTATTGCGCATATCTTGTGCATCCGATTGTCATACGTTCCATGGCTTTGAACACCGATGCGCCCCTACATCTGGGCGGTGACACAATGGTATGTTGGCAGTATATTTTTGGAAATATCTGTAAATATTTAATGATTGAAATTATAATTTTTGCTCTTAGGTTATATTATTCTTCGGACTCGTGGTGGCTTCGTATCTCTTATCGTTTGTAGTGTCGATGTCATTCGAAGCGCCCGTCGTCACCATGTTGAAAATCCTGTCTCCTAGTCGAAAAAAGCGTATTGCTTAGCTTAAGTATTTTAATGTAATATTTGTATATGTTAACATATACATGTACATATGTATGTATTTAATTACTTTTTCATTTACATTTTAATCTTGTTCCTTAAGTTTGTAATCAATCAACATGCACAACTTCATTTAAAAAATTTACTGATATATACCATACATGTACACTGACATACTGCAAGTGGTAGTTCACTAGTTCAAAAGTGCTTCAGTTCTGATGCACCCAAAAACATTACATCGTTTATAGCATAGCCAATTTATGGTGCCGAACCGTTATGAAACACTCAAAAGTTCCATCACAATACGCGGCAGTCATCTCTTCTTGAAGTCGCACTCGGTACAATCTATTGCAAATAGTTCGCGCTTGCATACAAGAAAGCCATGACATTTTCAGAGCACTACAAGAGATCAGTACGAGTTTGGCGAGATTGCTCCAGTGCTTGAACCAATGATATGTCTACGGATTCGCATTTCTCTGGAGTATATTCTTCATACCTAGATGTACATGTGTACATATAAAAGGTGCAAAAACAATTTTAACTATTTATCCACATACATAAATACTACATATATGTATCTATGTACTATATATCTTGAAGCATTATTTTCCATCATCATTTGTGACATCGGATCGAACTTTGCGGTGCAAGTGATCAAAGCATTGATTTTGGATTCAGTGTAAACTTTCAAGCATTAACTTTTTATTTGCAATGTCATTAACGAACATACATACTATGTACATACATATTTATTCCAAAGCTAACGAACGCACTAATGCTGTGAATCGCCGAAATTGCAATGAGTAAGCATTTGATAACTCAGATGTAACAATTCGATATAAAACCCTTTAAACCTCCACTCATTCTCATTTAGTTTAGTAGCATAAAAGTTATATAGTGATTGTGTATATGTATATCTATTATAAATGGGTACACCACGTACATACCTACAAACATACTTAAAAACAAATAGCATGTATACATACTATACATTTTTTATACAAACATATTCGATGAAATAAATAAATATCATGATTTATAAGTCAAATGCACAAAACTAAAATATATATTTATAAGTCACAAAAAGAGTACATACGTACATACGTGTTTCATTCTTATCTTAGACGTATATTTGTATATACACTTCCCGGCAACTGAACAGACCCATGTACCGAAAGTAATTATGCTCAATCGTTGATTTCATTCCGCGGCTACTCAAAGACTGCTTACATATACTATATACGTATTGGTAAGATATTGGTTGTGGTCGGTCATCAATGACATCTAACGGAAGATCTAGAGAACGAGTTGGACTACAATAGAAGCAATGACAATCCAAGTGGATGACGTGAAGTGCTTGTTAGCAGCACATCTTACCGTTATTTGGCATGTCAGGTGGAGGATAGTGAGTTTTACTTCAACCAGAGACGACAATGTAGCATTTTCCTGAACTGGGAGCATGCGATCTTCGTTGTTTAGATGATATACAAGAAATAGCAAGAGAAATCTGATCACTATCTAAATGTGGTGTTTTGGTGGTTCATTTCAATATACTTATTCCAATATCTCTCTGTTAAAATATAGGCTGTAATTTTGCGATCTGATTTATAAATCGTTTCCTTCGGTTTGTAGGGGAGAGTGCTTAGCTTCTTGCAGTAAATAAACGAAAAATTTCTGAGATATAGTTGCTTCATTTCGAGCACATTTCATCAATACCCATGCGCAACAGCACAATTGCGCAATCATCAGCATATAAACTAATCAAAGCTATGGTGTAGTTGGTGGTTTAAAACCACCCTGCGGATCCTCTCCTTAACCCCTTTACATTCTAGTATACAAGTCAAGAACTAATCAATATATCCGAATAAAACTTTGTACGAATATTGGCTTTGAGGTGTGCCACGTTATGACCAAAACTTGCGCAAACCGAACTATAACTATTCAAGCAAGCGAATACCAAAAATGTTCTCCCCAGAGCCTATGGCTGACTTTTTACTAAAAATATCGGTCAATGGGTTGATGTCAGATATATTTCATTTGAGAACGATTTTAACATAATTTTTTATTCATTAATTAACAATTTCGTCAAATAATGAATGTTGAATTATTTTGAAATTTGTTTAAATATAAAGTTAGAATACTTCCAAGTTGCACGAGTATAAAATATTCGGTTGCACCCGAACTTAGCCCTTCCTAACTATTGTAATAAATTGTTGTTACAGGAAACGAAATTTCCAAACACATTATTCCCTGCAATTTGCAAGCACATATCGTCGTACACAAAGAGCGATGCAAACTATACAATCTGACGTGCCCTTCCTCTTCTCTTGATGACAACAGCCACAGGTGGCCATTAATGAAATTGGTTAGCCTTTGGTATTAACCTCATATCGCTAATATTACTCTCATAAATGTTCAATTACTCCCTTCAATTAAAAATTTCCACAAATACTAATTACATAATTATAATCAAATTTATAATCTCCAAATTGGTATTAAAAATTGAAAATATATTTTTGAATTATAAAACCACAATGCTGTTCTTTACCAATTAATTTAATTTGACGTAGAGATACTCTCTTTCATCGAAGGAGTAAATTGTAAATACGATATTCACATGTATCATTACAACATTCGTTATATGTAGATAGATAGATAAATAATTGAGGAATGCACCCCGACCTCAGGTCTATTGTGCCCTCTCCTAACTCCCAGGGAGTCACTTAGCCCCAGCATATTTGAAATGTCCATTATCTTTCTGGGTGCTAGTAAGGCGATGTGATCCTTATCCGGAAAGATGGATCCAAGGGCCTTCAACCTACGTCTACAGACTGCTATGCAGCCGATTAGCAGGTGTTCCGGAGTTTCAGGCTCACTGTCGCAAAACCGGCAGTTAGCGCAAGAGGATAGGCCCATGTTAAATAAATGTCTATTCATCCTTAATAAATGTATTGCAGTGACCGAGGTAAAATGCGACCAGTAGCCTGAGTTTATCCCTTGGGAGGTTAATTATCGATTTAAACCTGTTCTGGTTGTACCCCCCAATTAGCAACTTGGCATGTCATGCACTCGTTTCCAATGCCTTTCTCTGCCCACTTCTTCTTCCTTGAGGTATGGAGACCCACCCTGGTAAAGGGTTCGGGCTCTACCATATTGGTGTAGGCTACGGAGTGGGCGAGCTCATCAGCCAGTTCATTGCCGACTATACTTTTGTGATCAGGCACCCAGATTAGGTGCACCTGGTTCCGTGCGGCTAGTCTATTCAACTGTTCTCTACACTCCTGCACTTGTAGCGATTTGATCTCGTAAGAGGAGATCGCTTTTAGTGCCGCTTGACTATCGCTTAGTATGGTTATTTGCGCATTGCGATAGTTGCGATGTAGGTTTATCTCTATACACCGACTTATGGCAAAGACTTCTGCCTAAAAAATGCTCGGTATGGAGAGCTTGGCGCGTGGACCCGCGATCCCTGCACCAATTAACTCCGACGTTTTCCAGCCGTCGCTGTACCACTTCAACGTGCTATCCCTCAGCATTAGCTCAAGAGTGGAGTCGTTCCACTCATTCTTGCTGCCGACGATAATCTTAAACTTCTTCGTGAAGTTAATTGTTTTGGTAATGCTGTCCTTCGGGAGGAGGGCTAATGGAATATTGCTACTTATCACATTCATCCTCTGGGACGAGATTACCTGTCATTTATAGAAGTGAGTGCTTGGCTACTTGACCGATGAGCAAATGAAGCAGTGTGAGTTCATGCAGACACAGGCTAGCCGCTGCAGCTTCGATAATTTTATTCTTACCGAAGCCTGCGACGCTATTGAGGCCCAGGACACCGCCCCGTACGTTATTATCGGCATCATGGTGTACAAGCACCTAACGATCCTAAGCTTAAAGCAACTTATTTTGATTTGACCAAGGTCTGGTTCTACCGCAAAGTTGAATCCAGCGTGAGACCACGATATTTGACCTTACTATTCATCTCGATCTCTCTACCCCCAAATGTGAGATTCCAAAGACCGCGTCTCGTAAACGGGACTAAGATCGTCTTTGAGGGGTTGATATTCAATTCAATTCCTCTACACCACCCCTTTGCCAGGTTTTGACCTCGATATACCAGGTCGCAAAGAGTGTCCTCAAATTTACCTCTGACTATAAATACAATGTCGTCCGCATACCCTTGGCAGCGGATCCCATTGTCAGTTAGCAGTGCTAACAGGTTGTCCACGACAAGGCTCCATAGCTGTGGTGATAGCACACCTCCCTGTGGGCAGCCTCTTGTTGTGCCAAGACGAATCCTTGCGCCTCCTCCTGTAGTATCAGTAATTCTGGTGCGCTGTACGGCCTCTATCCACGCACCGGTGCTGCCACACACATTTTCTCCAGTGCCCTGGCTACACTCCTGTGAGATGTGTTGTCAAAGGCACCTTCTATGTCCAAGAAGGCGCATAGCATCACTTCCCCTCTCTCCAGTGAACTCTCTATCTCAGAGGTTAACTGGTACAGAACCGTATTGGTGCATCTTCTCGCTCTGTATGCATGCTGAGCATCATGCAGGGGTGCAATCTTCAGCGCCTTCGACCTTATTTCATTATCTATGATCTTTTCCATAGTTTTTAGTAGGAAAGAAGTTAGGATAATTGGCCTGAATGATTTAGCCAGAGAATAGTCCTTCCTTTCTACTTTGGGTATGAAGATCACCTCAATAAATCAGAGATGTACGCCATTGCGAGGCTTTCCCTCAGCAGCCGTACCAGGCGTGACAGCAGAATCTGTTCACCCTGTTGTAAAAGCGCCGGGAAGACGCCGTCCACTCCCGGAGACTTGAATTTCCCAAACGAGGCCATTGCCTACTTGATCGAGTCCTGTGTTCGATTACGGGTAGCACTGGTTTTCCGGAATAGTCTCCGGGAAAAGAGCACGCAGAAGCTCTGTCTTCCGCGCTGGTGGTACATGTCCCGTTGTTGTTGTTGTTGTTGTAACGGCAGAATTCTGCCGAGTTGACAGTCCTTGGCCGGATAAAAATCCGGGTCCGTTCCGGTTTTCGTAGACCCGACTGTCGTGGGAACGGTACAATGTCCCGTCGCTTCTTTTGATTGCTAGCACTGTCGGTCTTCTCTAGCCAGCGCCTTGTGCAGCTGAGCGCTTCTGGTGTGAAGATGACATTTTCACAAAATCTCCTAAAGGTAGCCTGTTTATTATTCTTTAGGGTGAGGTTGCTCCTGTATTCTTCCCAAACGCCTATACGTTTTGCTCTATTAAATAGACTTCGTACTTTGTGGTATGCAAGCTTTCTTGACCACCAGGGACAGTTGCACCTGTCTGTGGGCACTTTTAGGGGGCAACTACCATTGTACACGTTAATTATAGACCCGTTCATCGCAGATAACCTACTCTCCATTCCAGGGCCCGTAATGCTATTGTCAGTCTGCCCCTCCCTACTCAATTCACTTAGCCTCTCCCTGATGGCACTCCAATTTACTCTCCGAGGGTTGTGCTGCTGACGACACACCATGCCGAGAAGCCGAGGCCCCGGTTCTGGTTCTTAACCAGACCTAGAGCAAACTCGAAAGGCTTGTCTCCTCACAGGGGGAGGAACATCGTCGGCACCCTTCCAGCTTTGGGGCAAACTCCCGCAGCCAGTTGGCAGACGTCTCATCCATGTAGTCCACCTGCAACATACCACCTTTGAACTTACATTGGGTATGTCAGAGTCTATTCTGGATAACAAGGAGTTTAACCTGCTGCAATATCTAGAACGAAGTTGCGCTAGGGTCACTCACGTTTCTCGCGGCAACTGGAGCTCTACGTCCACGATAGGTGGTGATTTGACTCCAAGAACGCTATTCACGAGAAGGGAGTCGGTGAAGGTGTTGATGGCTCCACTGTGAATGGCGGTAAGTACCTGTCGAAAGTCAGTCGCGTCCGAAGTCCGGTAGGCGTACTGTACGACGTCGTAGAGGTAGTTGTTGTAACGGCAGAAATCTGCCGAGTTGACAGTCCTTGGCCGGATA